TTAACAGTACTCTCTCTGTCTCTGTCATGAAAATCTAATATATGGTGCTCCACGTAAATAGATAACTATTACTATGGCATCGTCCCTTTCGGTCGAGGCCGATACAGTTCATCTAGGAACTGACGGTCTCTGTTACCATGTCACCGCCCACGGGCGCCATCGCTATGTAATATGGACAGAAAGGAACTCTATCTGTAATCCTCTCGCGGGGGCTTCTCTATTGGCTCAAAGCTTTCTTGCCCAATCACCCCGAGAAATTCAGTGACTTGCTCTTCATCCGGGACAACAGGGTTGAGGACAGCATCACAACCTTCTTGTTCCTTGTCCTTTGCACAGCGAACGTACTCTCGAATACTGTCCTCTAGAAAGCTTATTGGAGCAGAACCTTGTGCTAATAGATAGAAGTGAAAGTCTTTCAGGCTGAAATCGTCACCGAGTTCCTTAGTGGTGTATTCCCGTAGCTCCATGATTTTAAGCTGACCAATCATGTATGCAGTTGCTTGTCCTGGATCACTCTGATATCTGGTGACTTCTTTCTGGGCGATGTCACTTGTATCCCACGCGTAGTCGGCGAATTAACGAAGCGCTTCATCTCGTGAGAAACCTTTGTAATGCAAACCTGTGTCAACAATGAGACGTAGGGCGCGCCAACCTGGAACGGTGTAATATTGGCGATAAGCGCGAAGTGGGAACGGTAAAACTTAAATCTTTGTTCGTAATTAAACTAATACATTCGTCTAACTCATCATCCCCACTAAATAATAACAATAAAAAAAAAACAAACAAACAAACAAACAAAAAGACTGCAGGCAAAGTTAACAAGCGATTGAACGAAAGTACAAAAATTGCAGCGGGGCCGGAGTGAAGCAAATAACTAAGACAGAAACAAAAACAAAACCAAACACAACAACAACAACAACAACAAATATCGGCAAATGAAAAAACTTTTCCCGGACTTACCTGCCACTTGAGCATTCCGTATTTTTGAAAAGGTTCCTTTTCATAGACATTTGTGTCGCGAGCAATCAGTGGGTTCTCAGCATACAACGCCCAGCCCTCTGAAAAAGCGGTGTACCTAGTATTAGCGTCCAGCCAACTAATCACACCTCCACAGTTGTCTCGGAAATGTTCGATTAAGCCCTGGACCTAGTAACGAGTAAAACAATAACACATATAACTATAAGCTGCTATGGCGTAAGTTGCCTTTTTTGGGAAGTACAAGCCTGGGTTTCTCTGGTTTTCCTGGCTTCCATAGTTCTACTTCCTATTTTCGTGTCTGCGTATTTTTTACCGTGAACCTCACGGAATCGGTATATATCTAAGATAACACTTTGGTTGGAGGGACATCTGTTCGCACCTTTCCCCCCTCGATTCTCGTAAAAGGTGGCTGAGGAAACCTCTAAACCTGAAACTGATGTTCGCACATGGAACCTTAAGCATGTGCCTTTAAACACGACACAGAATATATCATTTCAACTTTCAGGCGTTCATAACTAAACCATCTGACTCATGTGTATGTTCGTGAAGCCTTAATCAAAGTATACTCTACGTCTTCTACCTGGGTGTGATGTCCAGGTCGCGCTTCATGCGCGTTGACACTCCATTCCTCATATAAGGGTCCCGGCCTATCAAGAAAAAACGGAATTCTGTACTGAGAATTCCTGGTACAGTATTTTGTACTTCTTGAGTAGCTCTGCGCCCCGCTTGACGGATTGAAATTTGGTGCCATATCCACAGGACAGTTAGGTGTGGTGTATTTAGGGCCAGAAAAGTGAAACATGTCGGTCGTCTCAGGATCGAGCATACTCATCACCTAAAAGACGAAACAAAGCGATTGATAAGAAGACGTTAAACGCAGTTACACGCAGTCAAAACGAGGCGGAACACAAGAAAATTTGACGCAGGAAAAACCAAGAAAAAGAAAAAAATTCCCTTCCCGAAGATCATAACAATGTAAATGAAACTCAAGTGAAAAAAAA